TTTTTTATACAGTTGCGTCATTGTTGAATCCGTGTCAATGTACAACAGATGTAGGGTGTTGTCGTCGTCCGATCGAGGTTTCCGATGACCCTGTTAATAATAGCATCATACCAAACAACAACATTAGTGGTGATATTTCATATTTATCTTCGATATCATTATCTTATGAGCAAAACCAGTCTCAGGACTGCGATCGCAGAGAAGATATTAATTATAATAAGCAGAGTACAGGTGAAATATATAATTAAATGTTTTTTTACTATAATATGTAACCTAGAAATCAAATTATTAACTTTTCGGTTTTTATGTAGTTGCGGCATTGTTGAATCCGTGTCAAAGTGTATTAGGAATGGAATGTATTTGCCGTCGTCCGACTGAGATTCATGAAACTAGTAATCATTCTATGGATAATTACAACACACTCAATGATAACATTAGTGACAATTTTTCATCATATTTACCTCCAATGCCACCATTTTATGAACAAAATCGGTCCCTGAACCATGATCAGGAAGGAGACATTAATGGTAGTAAACATAGTACTGTTCTGCCCTCGTGGAAAGGACTCCTTGGTAATGAGGCTTCGTTAATGGCATCAATCAACTCAAATTCAGAAGGTTTTACTTCTCTTGTGCATAATGAGAATGTAATATTGAATAATAGTTCCAATGGTCTAGAAGATATATCAAGAGATCAATCTAAAGTTTTAGGAGAACAATTATGTAATGCATCGTCTGATGATTTGGCGAAGATCATATATCATCCTTTTCAAAGTTGTTCATCTGCCGCGAAAAATGGTAGTTGTTGTGGTGCATCGGCGTCATTATGCAGTTGTAGCACTGAATGTAGCTGTGATGGATGTAACTCGCAAAAACGCGTTACTACCCAGGTAGCAATTACCCCTTTGTCTGTAAAAAATTGTTGTTCACTTCCCAGAAATCCCGAGGTTACTCTGCCTGAACGTACTACTATTTTTGACGAAGATGGCGTGGTATTATGCGGTTGTGGTTGCAAAAAAACTGACACCGAATGTATAGATTGCTTAGGAAGTCTTTGCGAAGGTATTATCATTTATTTTTAAATATTGTTATTTAGAACATATTCATCATAAATATTGCCATTGACTGGTTTTATTTCTTTCTTAGAATATTTGTTAAAAAATCTATAATAGAGTCCATCTTAATCCCGATTTATTATTCCAAATATTATTTTTGGGCATGTATACACTTAGATCTTTATATAGATTTGTTTTAATTTTTGAAGGAAAGCTCAGTAATATTAAAGATTGTGTGTACTATTACAAAAATAATATCAAAATATAATATTTCGAACTTTTATTCAATACGTTTAATTTATTGAGAATTTGTTTTTTACACTGGTAAATCTTATCGTATAGTATAATAGTATTAAGTTAGATATTATATTTGATATCTTATAATTGAATTTCATTTGATTATAATAAATAATACTAGTAATATTTACTTGAATTGAAAAACAAATAATTAATATTAGTTAAAGATTTTTTAGTCTAGTTAAAAATTATCAAGAATATATATATATAGTATGGTGCAAAAAAAATAACAATTATATTTTTAGTTATAACTTAATAAATAATTATTGAAAATTCATGAAAATTCATAAATATAGTTAAATATCTTATAAACAACTTTACTTAATACTGTTTTAATCAATATATTAATATTTTTTAAAATAATTTA